ATATGTTTCTGGATCACTCTTTCCTTGAAAAGGGGGTATTTCAATTCTGTTATCTCTAACATCACCTTCATTATTTCTCCTTCTCCTCCTTCTACCTCCACCATCATAATCATTTCCTTGATTTTCTAGTTGTTCAATTCTCTCATACAACTGATCCGTATGTTCTGTCAACATTCTTTGCATTTGGGTTGTAATGGCCTCAATCAATAATCTATTGCCACCCCCTAGAGGAGGGGTACCACCACCACCACCTGCACCTGCCATCTTTCAAGTAAAAAACAAAAGAAAGGACCAAACAAATGAAGTAATAGGACCTCACCACTCTTCTCACGTGTTTGCACTCAAAGATGTACCACTCGTGTTTACTCTCAATTTGGCTTTTGTATAATATGCATTCTTGTCTTTTTCCACTCGTTCTCTGACTTATGGTTCTTACAAGAATCAAACAATCTATAGTTCAAGAATCACTTTCATTGTAGCAATCACAAGGAATAAAACAGAATTGTAGTACCAATAAAGGACAAGTAGCAAAGAACAATTTTACTACTAACAACAAGCAAGACAAATCTAAATTGTATGGGAAAACAAAGATTAGACAAAGACGCTTGACACTTAGGAATTTTATCAAACAGCTAATGTGCACTAAAAATTAAAGGAAGAACAACTGCCACACACACACACACACACATATATATTTTTTTTTCTTTTCGATTCTTTTCTTCTTTTGATTCTTTTCTTCTTTTGATTCTTTTTTTCTGGTTCTTTTCTTTTTTTGATTCTTTCTCGAGAAAACTAATTTCAAACACAACTTTGATATATATATATATATATATATATATATATATATATATATATATATATATATATATATATATATATCTAAATGAAATTCAATATCAAAATTGCATAAACAACGAGGTTTTTTTTGAACGAGTACACGTGAACGAGTGACAAATGAACAGATGCAGTGAACAGTGACAAATGAACGATGCACGTGAACCGTGACAAATGAACAGTACCGTGAACAGTAACAAATGAACATTGCGATGAACAGTACCTGTGAACAGTGCGATGAACAGTACCGGTGAATAGTGCAATAACAGTACCGTGAAGAGTGAACAATGCGATGAACAGTACGACTTTTGAACCTTGCTCTGAATACCAAATGACGACACTCGAATAGAAGGGAAACAATTTAGGATTAGGTTTTAAGAGTTGATTTGATTGGAAATAGAAAACAGAAAAAAATAAAGGATATCGTAGGCGCCACAAATAAGAATATTTGATAAGCTAAGAAGGATCGCCACAAGAATCGAATAATTCTTGATAAGATCAAGTGATGCAAGGAAGAACCCTAGCAGATCAACAACTCACAAAGTGATTCTGAATATTACCTACGTTCATTTTGAATTTCCAAATGTTTAATACAACTTAAGTTTATGAGTTTGTCTCATTGCAGGAAATAAAGATAAATTAAAATCCTAATATCCCAAGCAAAGTTAAGATGCTTAGATGGTTTAGTGAAAACATTATAAGCTTTGGGTCTTGTGTTCAAGTCCCCACTGTAGCAAATAATAATAAAAATAATAACTAAATCTTCTAGTTGGGCCTCCTAGCTCTCTAAACATTTTATGCATGTGATAGGGCTAGACTCCTCCATGTTTAGAGCTTTTAATAGTTGGGCCTTTAGCAAATTGGTCACTTTGTGTTGCAACGCCTCTTGTGCTTTTCTGAGTCTGCCTCTTGTCATAGGTCCACCTAAGTCTTGGATTGGATCTTGGTCTTGATCCTTCTCATTATGGGCTTGGGCCTTTATGTCCACATCATTCCCTCCTGTTGCTGCATGACAGCTACCAACATTTCCATTGCCCTGGCTAGGGCATTTACACTGGGTGGAGTAGGAGTAAGAGTAGGAGGTCGTGGTGCCATCCTATATCAAACGCAACCATCAATACAGAGCAAACATTCACACACACTCGCATATCAGAGTATAATCACAATGGACTTATCATAGGGTTACTACCCATCCCCACAGATTTACAAGGATACTACCGCTCTAATACCACTATTGTAACGACCCTAGAAATCGCTACTATAATGATGCTTTCGCAAAATAGTAAACAAGTAAATAACGACATCTATCTTAGATTATATTACTGTAATTGTAACATAGATTGAAATTCTGGTTCACTAACGGAACCTCAAAATATAGTAACATAATTTATTTATATATTATACATGTAAAAGTAGCTCCCTCGAAGCAATCCCACTGAACTATCCTTGTTGTCCAGTAGTCACATCTCCATCTCTCAACTCCTGATCTGCTCCCACATTCCTGATCTGCTCCCACATAAAAGTGATCATCGCAGTCCCATCCACATGGAAAAATAGGGGTAAGTATTAAATCATTCGATATAATAAAACAGATATAGAAGTAATAATTATATATTATGATCAATTACAAAATCATCAACACACTAAGACACCTTCTGGAAGTATACCCTAACTATGCCCGAACTCAGAGGCTATCATCTGTGGGTACATTGTGATCGACACCCGCAGTACCATTCTGACCACCCTCCACACAGAGTAGGATTACTGGCGCCCTTCATCACTCATACTGGAGTACCCTTCCGAGCGCGCCACCAGTCATCCTCCCATCGACTTCTCACCACCTGATCTTGTAGTCTACCTGACCCGATTAATCAGTGAAGTCTGAGACTTCATTCAGAATCCTCTGACATAGTTATTACACTAATGTACTCTGTACCACCTCCGGGTACCATTCAAACACAACAAAAATCATTCACATATGCCGAATTCTGGACCACCTGTCCTCACGGCTTATTTGGTTCAATAAATAATAGTATTTGACTGATTCTGAGCACCAACCCTCCGGCTCAGTCTAGCCAATATAGCGTCTCATGACTGTTCTGGGCATCAGCCTTCAGGCTCAGTCTAACCCATGTATGTCCCTAAATGACTATTTTACCCTTGGACATTTCTAAAAATTCCTTCCATGTCTCAAAAATGACTATTTTGCCCTTAGACATTTTCAAAAATTCCATTTATGTCCCTAGGATGTAAAATGACTATTTTATCCTTGAACATTTTCGAAAATTCCATTTATGTCCCTAGGATGTAAAATGACTATTTTACCCTTGAACATTTTCGAAATTCCTTCCATGTCCCGAAAATGACTATTTTACCCTTGAACATTTTCAAAAATTCCTTCCATGTCCCTTTCTTCTTCCTCGCGCCAGTAATAGTATCAAAATTTGCAGATTTTAGCAAATTTCAAATTACTCAGTTTTAGACAACCAAACTAGTCTCAAATTCAGATTAAACATGAATTATATCTAATTTAAGTTAAAAACAACAATTTTACCATATAATTCATCTTTAATTTTAAGAATTTCAAAAACTTTCAAACGATGAACAGTTCATCAGAATCAGAAATTCTTCAAAATCAGACATTCAAATAACTCATATCTCTACTCCTATTCCTTATTCACAGAGTACCCAACAATTCAATTTCATATATTGAATGAATTAAACTTTCCCTTACCTAGTGTGATATTTCTACCGAAGTTTTCCCACTTAATTCAAACTCTCTCCCGTTTCACCATATCTTGCACGAGTAGAGTATCGTTGCTTGAAATTTAGACAAAAGAAGAAAAAAGATGAGAGGGAAATTTAGATTTTGCCTCCTCCCCCGTTTTAGTATGCACATGTATAAGAATTTTACTATGTATGAGGAAAACTTCGTTACGAAGTTTTCTTACACAGTAATATTATTATAATATATAAAAATCATACATTACAAAAGCAAGAAAACTCAAAATCCAATGAAGACAGAGACTTAATTTCTAATCCCGACAGAGATCAGGACGGGGATAACTAAAAGAGGTGAGGACGGTCTTTGAGCCCCTCAATCACTACGAACGCCCCCGATCAGTGTGTCTATTCATCTATCTGTCTTGACTCGAAATGGGAGGAGCTAGTTTGAAAAAGAATCTTAAAGTGTCTAAGGTTCTGTCGGGAGGATCTCTTAATGCCTTCCTTTTTCTTTTCATCAGAGTTATTTCACAAAGACTTGTCATGATAAAAAAGGAGGAACAAGTACATTTGAGAGGAAGCAAAACCCACCTCCATTGCTATACCTAATAAAAACCATTAAAAAATAATGTCTAGCTTTTATTATTTAAAATATAAAATTTGATTAATGTACACTGATGATATAAAACTGTGATCATTTAATTAAATACAAATTGTTAGTAGACTTATTAATTTTAAAAGGATAAAATATATTATAAATATTTCAAGTTCAAGATGATCAATTCTCTCTAAGAATATATATTTACTCCTCTTCCTTACAATTTTTTTTAATATAATGACCTGAAATAATTGTTCATTAATTATTAGATTATAAATAAAAACTAAATTATATAAATAAGCCTTTCTAGAACAGATAAACCCCTTCATTTTACAAGTTTTGATTCTTATAACTTCTTTGGTACATTTGACAACTGCAGAATTTCGATTCCAATCAGTTCGGTTTCAGTTGTGCTCTTGCTTAAATAGTGCTGGAGCTGTACACAAGACAGAAGTCATTGATTGCAGATAAGGCTGATGAAGCCTATAAAATGGTCTGCACCAAAGCTATTGTTACAAAGTACTTCATAACATTCTTCTTTATGTAAGCAGAGAACAAACAAGGCATGTGCGGAGGGTAAGAAATTCTGCTACACACTTGCTTTCTTCATCAGTACAACTACTGAGCATACTTATAATTTCAACATAAGAACAGCAGGGAAATATACCAAAATAACAGCTTTATCTATTTGATACATACAATAATTTTACAAATCTATTACATATATTCTCTAATATTACAACATGGACTTCACATTATATAAACTATAAAGAAAAACTATAACAACAAATTAGAATGTATACATCACAAATTGGAGAACTCCAACTTTGTATGTAAGTGTATTTTATCTTTGAATAAAGAGGGTAGCCCCAACCAATCCCAACCATACTGTTAAGCCAACCCAGAATGCTCGACTTTTCCCTAACCCAACGGGAGGTTTCCATACAAGAAAGTCCGCAAGGTAATCTTTGGATGATGGAAGCTGATTCGTGACTGATCCACTCATTTTTCGATCCTTGTCCTTGTATTTATCACTCCATGTTGCCGCATAGCTACAATTATATCATAATACATACTTTATATATCACAAAAATAGCACGAAGGAGATAAACACAATTTTTGAATAGGCAATTGCAGTATAACAAAAGAAAATGTATACATATGCAGTTATAGTGTTCCTCAGTCCAAATGTCAGTGGGAATTCCTTTCACTAGGATATTGAAGCATCTAAAGAGATATATTGTGATTTTTCAAGAACCAAAAGGAATGAAAAAGGCTGATATAATTTCAGCAAGTTGCAGAAATTTAGTCCTACTTGTTACTCTAAACGAGACGAAGGAAAAATTGAAAAAGAAAATGAACTATGAAGAGAAAGAAATGGGCATCCATAATTGAGTTTCAAATTCTGTTACTGTGTGCTTTATCTAAAAAATTGAGCTTTGACACTGATTCTTGTGAAGTTAATTATTAAACAATAGCACCATTGATATTGTTTGACGGTTTGTTAAATGTTCACTATCGGGGAGTACGTAATTAGTCTTCTCTATAAGATATGCATAGACCAACAACAACTGAGTCGCCATAAATCCAGTAAACTACATACAAGAAAAATAAACACGTAAATGAAAGCTTCACACTAGGTACAATTGTTATACGGGCAGAGAAAAATGATGAAAATCTAAATCAATTGGGCTTACAATATGAGAAGACACTATACTTGACATAGATGCAGCAAAAATTCCAGAATGAACATTGATTGTTTGCGAGCAATCATTTTGACTGCCAGATCAACAGATGGCTCTATGCATTAGCCATAATGAAAAAAAATTCATTGTTCAATAACAGAAGTCTTTCCTGAACTACTACTTAAGCAATGAAAGCCCATGACTTACCGTGATGGCACAGCAGGAAAAAAGAGACATTGCTTTATCACCACATAAGTGGTGGGTTGGTAGAGCTCTTTCTTGCTTTACAAACTAATAGTAGCATCATTAATATTAACGTTTAAAAAGTCGTATTTGCTTGTGGAACAGCTGAAAATTATATAAACCATACCAATGTTTACGAAAAATTGCAGTCAGATAACAAGATGAACTTTCAAAAGTAAATGTCTAGATCTACAAATGTTAGTGAATGGAGCGCTAATGCACCATGCCGACTATGCAAACAATCTGAGTATAGAAGAATAAGACTCACAACTTAAACATTAATGCATGTTTAAGCATGACTTCAACTATTACACACTACTAGTTCCTTGGATAACTTCACCGCGAAATATGCTCTGTAACTCTACTAAAGCACCCACAGATAGGACATGGATCCATCTTATTATAGTTATGTAATATTTTAACCATAGTTTACTAACCAAGTTATCTGTCTCAAATTATACCCACTAGATGAAGGCAAAGAAAGCAAGAGGATCTTAATTAATTCTCAGTGGACTAAGGTACCAATAACAATAACCTTCACATTAATCATATTAAATAAACTACATTACTAGCTGACCAAAATTCAATCAGCTACACATGATGGATTGCAAATCCAGTATCATATCTGCTTAGAATAACGCACGTTCTGGTCAGTGATGTCATATGTTTATAAAGTATCAGACACACAAAAACAACGAGTAGTGTACATTAACAAATTAATATGTTCAAACATAAATACTGTTTCAACTACATTTGCCCTCGTATTAAGGGCATTCAAAAGTTAGTTAGACGAACAAGGATTAGCAGCATTCAAATTACAGATCATGTATTCTTGGTTGAAAATTAATTATTAAGCATCCAAAAAATCTTAACAGAAACCAAGCACATCTATTCAGCACAATTTAGAAGAATCCCATTAATGAGAAAAATGCAGAGTCAGTTACTATACACCATACCACCATACCTGAGCAAAATTGGATAATATAAACAAAGACTTGAACGAGGCTAATTTGCAAATGCAAAAATGAAGTCACCTGTCATAACTAGAGCCAATCAAGGGTATGGTCACCATCTCCTCCTGGGTTATCTTCAGCTTTGGCGCTTGCAGAATGTACCGAAGCTCTGCGGCTTGGCGTCGGATGCTAACACTTGGGTGCGTCTTTTCTAATTGCTGGTATAGAGCAATGCAATCTTTATGGCGGTTATGGGCCTCATAAGCCATAGCCAGCCATATTTGAATCTGAAATGCATAATTTATTAGATTTACTTTTACCTCCTCTTCATACACAATCAGACAGAAATTGTTATTTAGGCAAGGCAAGAAAGAACCAACCTCACCACCAAATAACGTAGGTCTGGGTATGATAGTGAGTGCAGCTTCAAGAAACTCAATGGCACGTCCATAGGAGCCCTTGCCGTAAGCCTTCTGGCCCAAATCAAACATCAACTGTGCAGTGGCCCTCCTCTCGGCCTGTTCCTTAGCCACCTGATTGATCCACCAAACCAATCAACAACAAATTATCAGCAAACAGGTCCCAATTCAACATGTAGACTCTACACAATAATTGCTAGCCTGCGCTAAATGAACAAAACCTAGACCTATTTCATTAGGCATTTTTTTGTTTAGTTTTTTTAGGTTGGAGTTTCACTTAATAATATACATATTAAAAGTTTGTATTAAAAATTAACATTAGTTACCAAATCTAATGCAACGTTGGACAGTATAAAAGATTTTTACCTTCTCAACCGATCAGATGTTGCGTGCGAAAGAAATTTATTGACTTCTATAAAAACTTCATGTCATGCATAATAAAAAAACAAAAATAAGGGCATTATTTTCTTAAACACAACAAACCTGCAGCTTCTTAGATTTATGACATATTAATTAAAATTAACCAATATAACTATTTTTATTTGGTCAATATGAATTTGGAATTTATATCTAATATAAAAAATTGGTAATTACTTCAAAGTTAATATTCCCCAGTACAATGGGTTGGCCGTGTAAAAGAAAAAAAAACAGTCCTGAGAATTAAATCTAAGTTATCATATAAAACGTAAATTTTGATTAGATAAGTAAAAAAATTCTATCTAAATCATGTGCGGTTTAGAAAAGGAATAACCTTTTCGAGTTCTTTTCTGACTCTCATCCTCTTCTCTTCCTCAGTTTCTTCATCGCCTTCTTCAACGCGGCTCTGCAACTCCTCTGCCTTCTTCTCCAGCTCCATCCTCGCCTCTAACTCCCTCACTCTCCGCCGCATTTTCGTCTCCCAGTCCTCCAACCCGCCGCCCTCCTCCTCCTCCTCCTCGTCGCTGTCGAACTCCACGCCGTTCTTCTCCGAGTTCGATTTCCCACGCGCCACCACCACGCGGCTCCGCGCTTCTCCTTCGGCCGCGTAGCAGCAGCAGGAGGGGGAGTCCTTCTTGGAGGGCGGCGAGCTAAAAACGACGTCGGATCCAACAGGACGAGCCTTCCTCTCAAGAATCGCGCCCCGCGGCGAAGCCAGGTCCAGTAACAGCGCCAGGTTTCCAAGGTTGACAGCCATATCGGCGAAGAGAAAAGAGTGAGAAAGAAATTAATTGGTTCTAGTAGTGAACCGAGGAGAAGCAAGAATATCTATTCTCTTCTGTTCAGTTCTATCATTGTTCCGTAAATATCTTCCATACCATCTTTTTTCTGTGTCTTGTCGTTTATCCCGTGAGAATTCAGATGGGAACGTGGCGCCGTGTAGGCCAGTGACGTGTGGCAATCGCTGTCGTTTCGCAAACTCACCAACCAATCTCTTTTCCTCCTCTTCCTACTCCGCCAATCGTCCGCTGTAATCCTCTCCATTTTGTATGGAGATGCATATACAGGATTCATTTGAATTTCAAAATAATTTCGAAACAAAAATCACAGTTTGGTTATCAATGTTATCTATAGAGAGAGATGTAAGGAAATTATTTTTATTTTAATTATTAATTTCATTAATATTACTTATTTTAATCAACTTATTTTTACGCATTATTACGTTTTAGTTATCATATACAACAATGCGTAATCAAAATACATAATAAAATAAAAAATAATTGCTTTATTCATACCTAGATTAAAATAACATCTTTAATGAATAAATATAATATAATTATAAACGAGTATTTTTTATATTTTGTATATCACGTATCGTTAAGTCTATTCGTGCAAGTCTATTCGTGCAATAAACTAGTATTATAAATACAAACAAAACATAAATTTTTTATTTCAAAAAAGTGAAATAAATTTATATTAGTTAAATAAAAAGAAGGGAAAGTATAGAAAAAAGGTTTTGTTTTATTTATTCTAAAAAGTTTGATAATAAATTTAATTGATAAAATACTATTTGAATGATATTTAATAAATATACTATTATATATTAATATTTTAAAATATATTTTTATTGAGTAATTGGTTAAAAATTCATTTATATATTATAAATTATAATGTATATAATTTGGAGAGTTGGGCAATCACTTTAATTTTTAATTCAAATTTATGACCAGTAAAAAAAAAACGAAACAAAATCTCAAGTCAGGAACATTTACTAAATATATGATAATTTACATTTAAAATTATATTTTAATTTAAATAATTCATTAAATAAACAAATTATATTCGTATAATAACATATTTTCATCATGAAGAAGAAGTACTTCACGACTTCGTTTTTTTTACTTAAAAAGAATACTAAAATATTTCGAAAATCGATTTCAGTTCATCTTATAAACAAAATTAAATAATTAATATTTTCTAAATCCAAAAATATTATTATGATTTTAATAATAAAAATTATTATTATTACTTTAATCGTTATTATTAGGTTTAGTAATACTTTTTGTCTTTGAAATTTAAGATGATTTTGATTTCAATCTTTCAATTTTATTTTGGTGTGTTCAAATTTATTTGGTAATAACAATTATTTTAACTTCAAACAATACTGGTCGAGGGACCTTTATGAATTGAAAATGAGACATCCCATAACTCCATTTTCTGTAGGCCACATGTTTGCTCCGCCTTGAATGGAATGAAGATGTCAATTCCCCTTTTACCTTTCTCTTTGTTTAACCACTAATTTTTTTAATGCATAAGACCATTAAAATTTAATAGAAATGAGTATTTAAGGAATATTTATGATGAATATGTTTCTTATAATGTAAAATCACAACAAAATGAATATATTTAAATTTTAGAGAATAATATATGTTTTTAGATTTTGTTTGAACGCATATTATATGCTGATAGTCTTTACTTTTTCAAATGTTTTTGTCATTTTATAGAAAAATCATGTAAGTTCCTCGCACTTCATTTATGCCTTTGGGTTCGCAAAAAAAATTTAAGAGACCATGGGAAAATTTTCATTACATACAATATGATTCATGTAACAAAGTAAGTGAATAACAAAGATTTAAAAAAAAATCTTATTTTAATAAATACTTACTTAAATAACACTTATATCATATTATTTACGATGGTTAAATTTAAATTATCTCAAATTTATTAATAGTAAAGACTATAGTCATTTAATGATAAAAATATATAATTAAATTTTGAAAAAATTATGATTTGAGAATATATGCATCAATTATATTAAATTATTTCAAATTATTAAAAATATATTATGTATGGTCACTAATGTTTTTAAAATTAGATTGATTAAATTAGTAAAAATACGGGTTAAAGATTTAAAGGTTTAATAATATTTTTATAATATAATAAATATATAATAAATTAATTAGTAATAATATTTAAAAAAAATAATGTTAATATTATGATTAATATAAATTATAAATATAAAAATTTAAGAGTATAAAATATAATTGTTAAAATAAGATAAAATTATAATATAATAATTATTATTTAAAGTTCACATAATTAATTAATATGGAATAATAAAAATTAAAATATATTATATTTTTTATAAAAATATTATATTAAAAAAAATTAAATTATTAATTTTTTTACTAATTCTATTAAAAATTTGATTTATTTAATTTTTTAATTATATTAATTTGATTAAAATTTGATTATTTAAAAACAATAAATCGAATATTAAACTAATTCTTAATAAGATTGATGGAACTTATTGGTCCAATTTTTAAAATAATTAGTAAACATGATAAATAAAGTGATCAACACGTTATTTGATGATTAATAGACGAATTAATCATTTCATGAAAAATAATTTGACTTGTATTAGTTATTATCAGTCGACAAGTTCATGTGACCTATTTTATTTTATAAAATCCAATTTTAATCATGCTAAAGATCATTAGACTCGTTACTAAAACTTAAGTGAAATAAAATAATAGGTGAACTCATGAATTTAATAGATTAAAATGGCTATAAAACTCAATTAATGCATCGTCTTATAAATAGACTATTTTATAATTATCATTTTCAACCAATATTAATTTATGAAGAATTTACCCAATAATTTCATTAATATTTGATTAAAATTATTGTACAATATTTAAATTCAACCTAATCATGAATTTTAAGAATGATATTCACCTTTAAGTCAAATTTTCTTACTAGATAAAATAAAATAAATACTAACTTAAGAAACATTTGTTGTGAATTTAAATTTTATTCATTATCAAAAGATAAAAGTTTCCATGACATATTAAAGATTATATTAATTACAATTATCTTTAATCTCGTATGTATGAATATTTATATATAAAAATCAATAATTTTTTATTAATAATATATATGTAAAATACAACATATATTTATACATTAATAATATTAAAAAAACATAATTAAGAATATCGCATGAAAATATGTAGAGACAACATATCTTCACTTCTTATACTTAAAAGAAATATTTCACTTCTAAATTTTTTTATTATAGGACGTTTATTATCTTGTATAAAAATATTAAATGTTTACAAATTTTTAGTTTAGTGTTTATCTGTAAAACCTAATAATTTTTTTATCAAATATATTTTAAATTTAAGGATTATGAACATATTAATTCATGTTTGCTTCGATTAATGGTTAAAAAATTGTTATTTATTTGCATAGTCATGGGTGCAAATTACATAATGATTTTACTGTTACGATTTTTTTAGTACATCTTTATTTTTCACATTATTATAGTAAAAAGACTCAAAGTTATTATAATTTTTATTGTTTATGCTTTGGCTTAATTACCATTTTTTTCTTAATAAGTTTATTAAGTTTATATTTAGTTTCTTATTAATTTTTTCTATTTTATTGGTGGTTCAATCCTAATATTCATTAGTTTAATATTGATTATTATTTTTTTATATATATTATCATGTACATGTCTGCTTATGCATTATATTTTTAAATAACTTTTTATTCCTTAATAATTTTTTTAATTTTAGGTTTGAATTATCATAATTTTTTTTATTAGTTCTTGATTAGCTTTGTTGACTTGAGAATTGAGAAAAAATTTAGACCATCAAATAATAAGTCAATCAAAACATTATCACAAAAATTAAAACACTTACAGAAGATTTGTATTAGTTTCTTATAACACAAATGCTATTTTAGAGCTTTAAAATAATTGAATGTTTAACAGTTAATCTTCGGGTTTTATTTCTTTAAGATAAAATTAATAACTTTATCAAAAGTAAAAAAATTAAGTAAAAAAAAGAAAAAAAGTAAGGAGTTAACACTTACATCAGCTTTCAAATAATATAATATAATGATAAGAATTAAATGTTTTTTTTTTTATAAAAAACAATCACAAAAATAACGATTTTATTAGTAAAGAAAAAAAAATAAAAAATTCTGTGCAAGAGAGTGGGGAAGAGTGAGTAGGAAACAAGAGTTTCCTTCGCAAGCGGGTGGCCATACGGTGTTTACCTGAACCCTCATTTTTTTCATCCTAAGATTTTCCCCTTCACTTCGCACTTTGCCATCAAAACGAAACGCATCGCATCACAACCCAAATCCCACACACCTCTGAATCCATGGATTCGTTCCAGCAACATCACGGCTACATGAGACAACCGCAACCACCACCTCCGCTGCCGCACACGGCGGATCCCCACCACCACCCGCACCACTTTCATCAGATACCTCCACCGCCGCCGCACCAATCCCCCTGGTTGTCCTCCCAATTCCAATACCACCCTTCGCAGACGCCTTCCCCTCCTCCGCAGTGGCAGCAACCACCGCCGCCGCCGCCTCCTCCTCCGTCGAACGCTTATTCCTTCCATCCGAGCCCGTTCCCTCCTCCCCCGCTTCGCTCGCACGTGCCTCCTCATCAGTTCACACCTCACTCCCACATTCCTCAGCCTTATCCTCAGGTGAAATATCCTTCTTGCCCTTCGTGTTTTTGCCTCTTCATTTTTTTGGTTCGCTAGGGTTTTTTCTTTGATTGGTTATTGATTGCTAATTGCGTGAGATTTTTGCAGGAATGGGGAAACCAAAACTTGCCACCTAACCAGGGCTATCCAGGTTAGTTGTTGCTGTTGTTTTCTTTCAATGTTACGTGAGAAACGTTGTTTACGTATTCAAGTCAGAATCAAGGTTTCGGTGTATATTATTAGGGCTGGAATAGTTGAAATTTATATCCACTTGAGAGGGAAGCATTTGCACAGAAAAAAAGAAAATGTAGAGTGGGAAAAAAAGAGGCTTGCTTTGTTTTTGTTAGATTTTGTTTGTCGGTTGATTTATGACCAAGTTATCTGGGTGGAATACATTACTTTTCTTCTTCGTGATACATTTGTATTTTATGTATTCATGAGATTGTTGTGAGTCGCCTTGACACTGAATATTGATCAAGATAGACACTTGCATGTGTTTGAGGAATCACACCACTTTTCAACTGTAGTTTGGAACTAGTTTAAATGATTACTGGTTTGTGAATTTGCGATGCTGTCTTTGGATAGATATCAGTGTAATTTGTTGACTTTGTGTGCCTCTGCGTGAATTTTAAGTTCTATATGAAATCTTGGACGCCTCCCCCATTCCCCTCGAGTTTCTGTATGTCCTTTTTTAATGCAGTGGATATTGTATTGTTCTGACATAATGTTGTAATGGTAGCCCATAACAATGAAGAAGATTGGGCTGCAAAGGCAAGAGCTTGGGCAGCTAAGGCTGCAATGGAAAGTCAGCATCCACAAACACATTTTTCACCTGCTGGAAGATTGCACGAGCAAAACCACTATCATGATCAGTATCAGCAATCTGTTGACTCGCATTATACTGATGTTCAAAACCAATCCCATTCAACATCAAGCCAATCCCATCCAACCTCAAGCTATCAACAATTTTCCTACTTGGATGCATCTGTGCACCGACTTTCAGGACATTCCCAGGAGGCTGCACCTTTCAGTTTGGAGACATCTTATACTCAAGATGGACATTCATACAGTGCTAGAGATGGGACCAGCATCAGAGATTCAAATGTTTCATTTGAACAAGGGAACTTGCCAACAAATCCATCAGTTAATCAGCAGGAGGTACCTTCTAGTTATTGTTCTGTTGCAGGTAATTGTTTATTTAGTATATTGAAGTTGCAAGTGAAGCTTCTGTGGGAATGGATTATAAATCAATATTCTGGAATTTGCCTAAATTGTATATTTGTGATACAAACCTGTCAAAATTTGGTAAAAAATATTGGTAGTTGGAATCACATGAATCATGCTTTGATTCATGTGATTTGATGAAGTTTGCTTACAGTTTCATTTTATCATTGGAGAGGCATGCTTGCTAGAACTGTGCAAAGTTGTAGGAATATCTATTGTGTTGATTTTCCAACAATATTGATGTCGGAGAGAATTTCAAACAAACTGCCAATGTGGGATGACAAACTAAGTCAGTTTTGGGTGGGTGCGGCCAGAATCTTGTGGCAGAGAGGCTTGTGAAATAATAGAATTCAGGGTTCAAAAAGTGAACAACTGGATGCAATGAGTGATAAAGTTGACAAGTCCATCTATTATCAATGATCAACTGCATCCTTGTATTTTCTTTCATTGTTATTTAAAGCTTCATTATGGTTTCCTTAGCCTTCTCCATTGTGTCATATATATAACCCATAAATGCCTTTCTTTCCCCATCTACAAGACATAGTACACGAACTAGAAGAACCATGACTTTGAGAGTAAAAATCACATGATTCCAAAATGAAGACATAAGAACAACTTTTGAACTTTCCTCCCATTAGCTTCATCTGACAACTTATTCTTGCTCCATTTATAATAAGTGAACATCTTTCTCAAATTTTTCTTCTCTTGAGTCAGCCCTTCTAGTGATAAATAAGAGGTAACAAATCTTGTAAAGAGGAAAAGAAACAGAAAAGAGGGAAAAAAACTGAAAAGAGGAAAAATAAAGAAAGAAAAAAAATGTTTGATTGCTACAGAAAAAAAGGAAAAGAAAACAAAAGAGGAAAACCCACGTTCATATTCTTGGCATTATTTATTGTAATAGGATTAACGAGTTGTTGAAACTTATACCTTTTTAGGCACCTCACGGCCTAACCTATCACAATTATTATATCTTCACACATTTGCTCAGGACAAGGAATGATAAACCCATCTCCCATCATTTTTGCTGGTTTATTTGCAGCCCTTGTTGTAACTAGTTGACACGTTGTAATACTTAATTTGGCCTATTTTAAAAATAAGTTGGAGAATAACTAGTTGTTGGAACTTGGAAATATCAGACAGTGTGAAAGGGATTCTTAAAGTTAACTCATTTTTTGTAGCACTTTGATGAACTGAACATATGCCATTTGGTCTTTGGGGAATACATTTTTTAAATTTACTGCTTTTGTATCTTGCCTTATTTATTTTCCAATGTTAAAATGAATATTAACTTGGCAGGTAAAGATGCTACCGATCAGATTCAACAATCATACTCACCCTTTCCTTTGTCAAGTTCCTCATCTCAAGAACGCCATGTGCAACCATCAATGGTTGCACCACCTTTTGCATCTGGCAGCCACTCAGTTGACTCGGCTATCAGTCTTGCTGATCAACCATTAGATTTTGCACCCAGGTTTAGTCGTGATAATGATTTGCAAATGCAATCAACTTTTAATCATCATGATTCCAGTACCTCAATGAATAACTGGGGTGCTCAAGTAGCCCCTGGTGTTGGTTATCCACCAATTCTTGCCTCTGGGCCTCAGGTTTTAATTTGGAAACCTTTTGTTTTCCTTGTCAACTTATGTGCTTATTTTATTGCTTTGACTCTTGGTTAATTTAGCAGCTTGACGCTTCTATCACCACTCCTGGTCATGTGGCACCACCATTTGGAAGGTTTCCTGGACCCGGTCTTCCTTCAACCATTCCACCAAGTGGTGCACCCTTTACCCTTAACACAGGAACTACAATTCATCCTACTGCTGCTTTCTCTGCTGATGCATATGGGGTATCCAGTGTTTCTGATCGGCCTAAGAAGGTAAGTATGTTGCAAAGGTTACACTTGGCTGTATATATTTTTATATTTCTCTCTCTCTATATATATATATATATATTCTATATATATGTGTGTGTGTGTGTGTGTGTGTGTGTGTGTGTGTGTAACCGAAATTCATTCATATTTATTTTTCAGGCTTCAGTCCCTAACTGGCTTAGAGAGGAAATAAAGAAAGCAGTCATTGCTGCTCCTGCAGAGAATCTGAAGGAGGAAGCCACGTTTGTGAATGATGGCATTGACAAGCCATATGCTAGAGGTGATGAGGCAGATAGTAAAAGCATTGACTCATCTAGATCAGCTGAGGATGAAGAAGATGAAGAGGTTTCATTTTTTAACATAAAAGATTGTGTCAATAAAATAAAATTAGTGTCTTTTATCATTTTGAATTTAGAATGGATTATTTCATATATAGGATCAAGTTGAAGTAACTAGAACTGCAGCAATCAACCAAGAAATAAAGAGAGTTCTGACTGAAGTTCTTTTGAAGGTTAGTTTTGTTCAAAACGTGAATATTTCGTCTTATTGAAATCTGTGTACTGAATGTAGCAGAAAAGAAAAATATATTGTAGTTCTAACTACAGCTTCTTCTTAGGTAACTGATGAATTGTTTGATGAAATTGCAACCAAAGTTCTTGCTGAAGATGATCTTACTGCTGAAGGTAAATAGTTGTCTGTTGCACTTTCATTTTCTCTTAAATTGTTTCTATTAATCCATGTAGATGAAGTTATTCTACTAATCTAGTATTAAAATTGTAAGTTTTAACAATTTGTTTTCTGCAGTAGGCCACAAGGTTGTTATCTCAAACCACAAGTCGTCTGTATCTCCACCATCAGCAACAGTTCCTAAGGCATCTGCAAAGGTTTTTGTTCCAGTCAAAGAGAAGGTAGAAAATGAAGGTGCCAGTGAAAAATCTAATTCTACCTCTCCTGGAGACGTTTTAGGTCTTGGAAATTATGGTTCGGATGCTGATGATGAAGACAATGAAATTGAGAGTTCCAGTGTGCCAACTTCTGCAAAAGATGCTACCTACCAGTCAGGGATTAAGCAACCTTTGTCAGATACACATGATGTATCTGTTAATGGCATTTCAATACTTGATGAGCACAGTAGAAATGAAACTAATTTTGTGAATGCTCAGATCAAAACCATCTCCTTACCACCCAGAAGTAGCAATGATTCTCCTTCTGATCAATTGCATGATGATAAGGTTACTAGAGCATCCTATCATTCACAATCTTCCAAAGTTGTGTCTGAAGATCTTAGGGATAATGAGATTAATGCCATCGAAAGAGGCCATGATAGATTTAATGGATTTAATTCTAAAGATACTTCAGGGATACCAAGATCTGAACTGCCTGGAAAGAACATTGGTGTGGAAAAAACAACAGATGATCATTCTGGTAGGGAAAGTAGAAGGAAAGCTGAAAAAAATGACCGGCATGACAGGAATACCTCTGAGAAAGATTTTGTAAAGGAGGGACACAGTAGTAAGACTAGGATTGATGAAAAAGGTAATGAGAATCATAGAAGGAAGGATGAAAAAAATCAAAAGAGGGAAAAAACAAATTATGGCAATGAGGCAAAAGAAAAGGTGAATGAGGCAAAAGAAAAGGTGAAAGAACACAATTTCAGGCATGGGGAGAAGGCAAAGGAATCAGAGTCAAGGAAAAGATCCTCTCATGTTGATGTTAAGGATGATAAAAGGGAAGCAGAAAAATCCCATAGAGGTAGTGCCACCGATGATACTAGCCGGAAAAGGGAGCATGCAAAGGATAAGGGAGAACATAAATCAAGGCAAAAAGATGCTAGTAATCCTGACAGGCACAGGAGAAGACGATCATCTTCAGTAAGCAGTAGAGGTAGAGCCAACAAGGATCGTGTTAATCATGCTGATAATTCAAGTGGTGAAGGGTCAGATGGCTCAAAAAGGTTTAGAACAGAATCTATTTACCTCATTGTCTGGTTATCATATATAGTGTCTCATAATGTTTGTTATGCAGGAAGCTGCATTCAAGAAAGCGTGACTTATCGCCATCTCCTGTCCGATCTAAAAGAAGGTATCATTTATTAAGAGATCCTTACATTTTTCAGGTTTGGAATATTGAAGTTTGGGTGTTCCAGAGCATCTTGCTCTGTGTTTGTAGGCTATAGCAATATGTGTATGTGTTATGTGTCATATATTTACCATCATAGTAATTCTCATATGGTTAATGTTTTATGCTGTAGGTAGTGTCAAATAATTTGTTTTCCTTTTCTGGTATTTATAGAATTTGGTTATTTACAAATAGCTTATCTTATATGTTCTAAGCTAAGTTGAATCTTGGATGTTGACACTACCAGCTTCTCTATATTTTCTTTAGTAATTTCAGCTCTAGGTCATTCTTCTCACTATTTAGGTGCGAGACTTAATTGCTTCCCTCAATCTTCAATAATGCTCTACCTTGCTATCTAAGGCCAGAAAGTTATAAATTATTTCAGCATTTTTTTTTACCTTGGCTTTCTAGTATGTTGTTTTATTCCCTTGTTGTGGTGAAAATAAACTTTTATTTTTGTATTTGTATTCCAGGATTTTTTGAAATATCGTGATTGTTATCTAAATGTGTTTGTGTAGGTGATTTCTCTGATGCATATTTCATGTTATGATCAGATTATCTCTGGTGGTCATTATTTATAAGATTTAGCTGCATCTTAGTGCAACTTATGATATTACTATTACTGATAGTTGACTTATGTTATACCCTTTTCTTGGAGAACCAATATCGAGCCTATTATTTTGGGAGAATGAGGATTCTGAAGCTGATACCATGCCAGATTTAATTATTTGGGTCTCTGTCTGTAGTTGAAGTTAAATCATCTTTATTTTATTGCCCGGTACATGGAATGTTTTTCATGTGCACATTATGCAGTAATAATCACGTTTTCATGCACTTTTGTCTACAGTGTATTAGATCTATCAATTTATCTCTCCACAATATATTATAAGACAGAAGAGCAAGAAACTATTTGATTTTGTGCACAAATTTGTGGCACTTGTTTATCCATAATTGTAAGGATATCTCTACGCTGAAGCTAAGATATGTTATAAAACTTTTGACTGATCATATTCATTAGAAACAGAAAAGATTTTTTGTAATAGGCCTCTTCGAATGGAGTGTTGACACTGTACCAGGTTGAGTTGTTTTTATAAACTTTGTATACTTTAAACTCACCAAGTCAGTACGGTGGTTTCATTTTTAGACAACTTTCGCGGTCTCCTCATAGCAAGCGTTCTCAGCGCAGGCATTCTCCCTATTCTTCTCTTGATTCTTCCAGGTTTGTTGCCACAATGTTTTTCAAGATTAAGATTTATGTTTTTCCGACAAACTTCCATCATATAAGATTAAGCTGCACAGGTGAATTTGTCAGCCTTCATATTTATTGGTTACTTGGTGCCTTGTTTATTGACTGTTTTTATTTTATGTAGGGGAAGGAGGTCAAGATCCAGATCACCTGTTCGACGGCAGAGATGAATGATAGGGAAGGAGATCAAGACCCAGCTCACATGTTCGGCAGCAGAGTTTATCGGTGGGAACAGAGATTGTTGAGTTTGCATCGACGTGGCTCATTCAAGAGAACATCAAGTTTGAGGAGGAGTAGGGCTAAGCTTGTGATATTTGGTCTATATGTTCTTCAAAGGGAATTTTGATTCAAACGTAGTAGGTAGCGATGACTGTTTTCCATTTTTGTAGGTTCAATATAACGATGTTATTTTCTTCCTGGTATGCTACTGTTCTTAAAGGAGTAGTATAAATCTAGGTAGGGTTGGATATGTACTGTATATGTTTTGATGTAAGAAAAGGGGGACGGAATTATCGATAGGTTTATCCATCATTAGAAATCCGATGTCTTTATAAATCCCATCAATATCAATATTGCTGGATGCGTTAGCTGAATGATTCAGGTAAATTTTAATAAATTAATCTGTTGCCAATAGGCAAGTACGTTCTCACCTTGCGAAAATTGTATCATCCTTTTTCGAATGGGACGGCATTAATAGTATATGGCAGTAATGGTTCTGTCATATTTGTTAGCACTGGTGATCTTGTTTCTTCACCAATTCTGAGGTTGGTGTGATCATAGTAACTTTAGTCACGCCAATAGTCCACAAATTTCAACTGTACATAGTTTATCTGATGCCACTTCAGTTTAATTTTTAATTAACTTGCTCAACTGAAATAAAAGTATTTGATAAATCCTTCTCATTAACCTTTAGCTTTTTTACTTCCAAATGCATTTAAATTTAGAGAGAGAGAGGGTTACACTAATCACTTTTGAAGTTTTGTAAAATTATACATGTATTTTTCTATTATTTTATCATGTACAGCAACCTCTCTTATGAGATAGTATGACGTATTGTTTTTCAAATATTCAAGGGGGTTAGATGTAATGTGTGAGAAATGTCCATAATTATTTCAAAATTTAAAGAGTGTAGATGTAGGGATAGAAAAATAAAATAGGAAGAATTTGTATAATTTTATGAAATCTCAATGATTAGGTAATACTTCACAATTTATTAGTAGTAAAATTTTGTTTTACGGATCCCAGTACTTTTAATTTTCAAATAGATGACTTTTATGGTGAATCTAATAAACCATATATTCCTATTCATAGGACTTTAAATCAGAATCTATTCTGAATTTTAGTTAAAATAGCAACCTTGAAGAATATACGAATGAGATCAAAACTTTTATCAAGTGTAAAGTATCTATTTCAATTTCTGAAAGTAGAATCGGATTATGATTTTACCTTGTTATCTTTATCAAGTTAAAAAACTGTCACACAAAGCATCGAAACAATCTTCTTCATACCTTGAAGACTAATTTTTAACTAAGGAATCTTGTAAAAATTAAAAACAAAACTAGAATGCACTCAAAAAGTAAATGAAAAAGGATACATGTGAAAAACAACAATGGAAAAATATAAAACGACTATAAAAAAACCAAACTATTCGAAAGAGTAAAATAAATTCTAAATACAACTGAGAAATTTAAAGAGCGAGTTTTAAGAAGAAAAAGTAATGAGAAAATTGAAAATGATTTATTTTTTGCAAGAAGTGTAAAATAATTTATGTTTTGAGACGAAAAGTAGTTAGACCAACAAATTCACTTTTGAGCAAGTCTAAACAATCTTGAAGTGGTAAAATGTTTTCAATGGATGTATTGTCACTTATCCCTAACTTTTGGTGAAGAAAGCACTAACCTAAGACTAAACTATTCATTGTTAACTGTAATTAGGTTACCAGTTAGTATGTATGCTTTTGTGTTGGTTTAACCAATTCAGCGCGTTAGTAAATAGCCATATTTGTGTTTCCTTTACGCATTCATTTTGTATTGTCCACATGAATTCATGATGCAGAAACACATGCAATAACATTGAAACTTACTAACTTCAATTTTACTCATGATACGTGTTTATAATTTAGTACATGTAACCAGTTTGACTCTTGACTAGCTAGTTGCTTTTCATCAATAGCTTTATATATTCAATTCAATTCTTGCAACTCTTATCGTGCTTGTCACGTCAAACTTCACGTTCTTAGTAGGGGCCTAATGGGTTTGTTATAGTTGCATTTCTTTCTTTCAGGTAAAGCATCTCTCTCTCTCTCTCTCTCTCTCTCTCTCTTAACAACCCATAAAGATTTCACAAAACAAGAACATAATTTTCTCATGAACACAAGCCATGAAGGTCCTTAACTTTTCTGTTCCCTGAATAGCATTCTTTGAAAAACTTTGTTTCAAAACATTTTAATTACTCTTGTAATTTATTTGCAGGGATCTCAGGTGGAGCTATGGTCAGTTTGGCTATCTGGGTTTGTCTTCATTGCTCTCTCTCTCTATGCCACTCAGAGATTACCTGCATTCAAGGATCATAGCAGAACCTCCGAAGATGCTATATTGGATTCCACAAGTCTTAGTATCACCATATTCACAGCTCCTAAACCCTTTAAGGGCTCTACTGGGACCAAACAGACACTTGCTGTTCGGTCATGGTTGGCTCTGTCTGCATATGTTACTATTGTTTTGTACAGTCGAGATCCTTCAGTTGCCTCTTTTGCAGAAGCTTTTGATTCCAGGGTTTTAGTTGATACTAACATTGATTTTACGTAAGTAAACAAATTGACCTCGTGTGCTAGAGGATATTGTTCATGATTTGATATTCATTACAGAATTTATTTGTTCTTTCTGAAATTAATTCTGTTATCACTGAAGTTATATTAGACACCTGCAAGATTAATTTACTTTTTATGCCTACTTACAGAAATTCTTGAATCGAAAACTTATTAAGAAACACCTTATATATCTTAATTACTGTTTTGTAATATTAATTTTTATCCAGCTTCCTAGGTACTCCTTTTCTCCACTCCATGATTGCAAAATCACGCTCATACATATCGGATATATCTGTTATCGTTGATCCTGAAACCATTATCCTTTCTGGATTCACCTCCACCTTAAACCATGTGTATCAACTTGACCGTGATTGGCTTCTTGTTGCTTCGGCTCAAAATGTTTCTTCCTTCCCGTTCCATTTGGATGAATCCGGGAAACATTGGCAGACAGATAATGGGAAACGGATGAAGATCCAGGAGGTATGAAAAATTGAAAATCTTTCAGAAAGTGCTCACTGAAAACACTTTTATGCTCAAGAAAGCTATATTGAATTGTGCTCTCTTCTTCAGCTGCAGAAAATACTTCAAAAGAATTGGCAGGGGAAACGTTGTTATACAAGAATGCTTATGGTGTGGAACAGCAAGGATGTGCCTCTACATGATGGAGTGCTTCCACCTTTCTTGTATGGTAAAGGTATACACAACAATTGGGTGATTCATGAGGCCCTGTCATCTGAGTTCAGATTTATCTTTGATGCTAGTTTGACCATCACAAGTTTCTATCTGAATAAAGAGGATGATTTTAGTCCTATACATGGGAATTCTAGTGCTGTGGATATTGAAAATGGAAATTGGGAGTACACTGGTAATTCCTATATAGGGGCAAACTATGGCTCATTCTTCTACAGTGAAGCTAACTCTAGCCTGGTCAAACTTTTGAAGTGCAATAAACAATACATTATGGTTGACACCAAGAAAAACATTGTTTATTCACTTAGACACAAGGGTGCAATAAACCTGATGAAGGAAAGTTTCTTTCCATTTTGGCTAAAGGAAAATACAATTTATTGCATTGATCGTCTGAAACCACAGACCATATCATTAGATTGTTCTGTGAAGGATGAGAGAAAAATTCCAACAACTCTGGAGCTTCCATTCTCCTTAGAATCACTCCTGTCTATCACTGCAGACAAAACTAAAACAGTTATACTAACCGTTGCTGGATATAGCTACAAGGATATGCTCATGAGTTGGGTTTGCAGATTACGAGAACTTTCTGTTGAAAATTTTGTTGTGTGTGCCCTTGATCAGGAAACTTATCGATTCTCCATCTTGCAGGTATGTGATATCCTGCTCTGCAAAATAATATTTGTGCTAGTACTCATTTATTTATGATCAATTAATGGATCTTGGCACTTTTACATAAAAAAGAACATCAAGTACCTTTTTCTGAGTCGACCCCTTAATTGCATAATGTTAATTTTTTCAGGCTCAAGATATGTTAGATGTTGCATTGACTTAGATGTTTGGATAACTAAAGTTTCACTCACACATGAACTCATTCACATAATTAGTAATGAAGAGGTTAAAATCTCACATTTATTTAACTTGATATACCTAGTTGGTATAAATGCAATCTAAGAAACTGGGATTGCGCATTTGGGATAACTGAGAAATAAAAATTGCAACTAAGTCGTTATTTTATTAGGGTCTTCTATACCATAAACTATTACCTTGTTCTGAACCATCATGCTAGTTATAATCTAATATTTTTTCACACGAGAACAATTTAGCACATTCATATAACAACATTTAGTGGGGGATTTTGAAATTCGAAAAAAATTCTGCATTTAATAGTTTTGAATGTTAAAAATATACATATTATAAAAAATATTACAAATTGTCCACGTACAGAAAAAATACTGGTTGGGTTCAAATCTAACGTTGTGACCCGGGAACTAAGTAATAATTTCCTGTTCTTCACAAACTGTCAAATAATTCCATTTTATTAGACCATCTTCACTGTAGTTGCTGATGAAAATTGTTTTATGTTAAGCAATCTTGCTTAACAAAATTCACCATTTCTGCACATGACGTGGATTTTTTTATGCAAGCATTAAGCAATGTTGCTTAAAATATTTTATGTAGTAAAGAGGAACCATGAATGAAGAAAATAATTCAGCAGTAATATGTAAGTTAGGTGAAGACTCATAGAATTAAATTAAGCATTCACATTAATAATTTTAGCGTTGGAGTGAGTTTTTACTTAGACTGCTTAAATGCATTATAATACCTACAAAATTAAGATAAACAACTAGGAATGTATGACACGATCGGTACATTTCTTTGTTTCGAACTTATACATATTAGCCATGTTTTAGTCTAACATACCACGTGAAATTTATGAAGAACTATAAGAAAAGATCTATCATGAATGTTCTAAACCTTTTATATGCTATTTTTGTTGGCTAAATGGAAACTGTTCATGCAGGTTACATACTAATAGATAACGGTTCATTACTTCTATTTGTGTTCAAATAACAATAACAATACAAAAAAAGTTCTATTTGTGTTCATGTGTGCCATTACCTAAATGCTCCCAAAGCTTAATTAACTATTTCAGTATAGTATCATATTTTCTTGTATCTAAATTCAATTACCCGCTTTCTGTTAAGACAGGGAATTCCAGTTTTCACAGATCCCATAGCTCCAAGTAACATCAGTTTTGATGACTGCCACTTTGGCACCAAGTGCTTCCAAAGGGTGACAAAGGTGAAGTCAAGAATTGTTCTGAAGATTCTCAAGCTAGGCTACAATGTACTTCTCAGTGATGTTGATGTATACTGGTTCAAAAACCCAGTTCCCTTGCTTCAGTCTTTTGGCCCCGCTGTTCTTGCTGCACAGTCTGATGAATACAAAAAACAAGGTGCTTATTTTACACTTGAAATTCATACTTTTTCCAAACTAGAAACATAAATCACAGATTACTATGATTTGAGTAAGAAAAGAGTATAAACCTATCTGCTTAACCAACAGAAAAATTTCTATTCTATCTTCATTTTGTTTTTTTGCATTGGAAATGATAGTTTTGGAGTGACAAGTGTGAGTTAAAAAGAAAGAATATACAAGTCAAGTACTAACGTTAAGAAAGAAAATCATGCACACTTAATGTCTTATAAGGATTGCAGATTTTTCCAAGGTTTCAAATATTCTTCTGTTGTCATTTGTGCAGGACCAATAAACCTACCTAGACGCTTAAACTCTGGCTTCTATTATGCTCATTCCGACAATCAGACAATAGCTGCTATAGAGAAAGTCGTAAGACATGCAGAAACTTCAGGCCTATCAGAGCAGCCAAGCTTCTACGACACGTTATGCGGTGAAGGAGGATCCAACCGCGTTGGTGACAACCAATGTGTGGAACCTGAAACTAACCTGACGGTACATTTCTTAGACAGAGACCTTTTCCCAAACGGTGCTTACCAAGAACTATGGCGGGAAAAAAACGTGAAAGCAGCATGTTTGAAGAAGGGTAGCTACATCGTCCATAACAACTGGATCAGTGGAAGGCTCAAGAAACTCGAGCGCCAAGTCTTGTCTGGTTTATGGGAGTATGATCCTGGCACAAGAATGTGTCTTTGGGGCTGGCATGGCACGGTATCAAACAGTGAAGTTAATTTTGAGGAAAGGGTTGATTCCTTCTTATCCAGTCTATGAACTTGTTTTGTCCTCACTCAAAATAAAACCCATTGCTTTCCCTTTGTTTGCACATGAACCAACCTCGATTTCATCGCACCATAGTGAAAGCCGGCCATAGGAAACTGAGAAGCATCTATGATGACTCTCTTTAAATGGTGTCTCTGTGGCGCACGCTCTTCCGCTACCCAGCTCTAGTTTCTAAAAGAGATATGGTGAAACCTTCAGAGTGCGTAATAATAAGTTTGAGGTGCAGGCTATGCTGAAGCGTGTGGTTCATTCGTTAGGCCTGGTGGAGCATAGAGAGAAAGGTTCCAGAAGGAAGAACCACCAGAGAAGACCGTCGCCAGAATTGTACTCACAGTCAAAGGAATTTGTTGTGAAGATAACTCATGCAGGTGGACATCAGGAGCTGTATAGACATGCAGTTCCTGCGTCTAAGTTGATGACAAAGTATCCAGGGATGTGTGTTGCACGGCCAGAAGTGTTCAAAGTGCCTCATCAATCGGTGTTATGGCGAGAAGAGATTCTGGTGCCTGGTCACAAGTATATCCTGATCTCGTTTAGAGATGTGGAGAAGCTGAAACGAAAAATTATAGAAGAAGAGAAGAGCAAAGAAGGTAATAATAATGGGGTGGTGCTGGAAACGAAGACCAGGTCTCCCAAGGACAGAGTGCAAGTGCCAAATGGTGTAGCAGGCCATGAGACACTGGATACATGGATCAACAGTGGAAACAGTCCCAAAGAGACTGGGAAAATGAAAGAGCCAAATGGAGTTGCAGGGCAAGGGGTGTTGGAAAGAAGAACAAATCTGTCTCCCAAAGGTCAAGGGAGCAACAGTGCTGTGAAAGAGACGGTGGACACAAATATGGATGGTTCTATAAATGAAGGAGGTGCAGAGGACTCTTTTTACTCTGCAAAGGACTTCTACGTCCGTAAGGAGAAGTCCACAACCCCAAGACCTTCAAGACGAAAAGGAATAAAAGGGAAGAAGCCTTTTGTGGCACCTCTTCCAAAGCTACGACCATATCGGAGCTTGGGATGGCAACCTAGCCTCCCAACTGTGAAGGAACTCTCGCCATGATTTTGTATGGGTTTCCTTTGTACAACTCTTATTCTGCCATGCTACTTCCTTGCCATTGATTTACTTCTTCATGTCTTGACCCCTTCTGTTTTATCATACAATCTATTAACAACTTCACTTATTAATAAAATAATCATTTTAATTATTTTTATTTTTTATTAAATCATTTAATGATTATAATATTAATGAATAGAGTTGTTTATTGTTTATATTTTAGACTTGGGTTGCTCTTACTTCTTTATTTGCATGGATCTTTTAGATGGCTCTTATATCATATTAATAAAATCAAGGGATAATATATTTTTTTCTCATATTTTTTACTTATCCTTATTTTTTATATTTTTAAATTAATAAATTTAACTTTCTAAATTATAAAATTATTCATCTAATATTTTTTACATCTAATTATTGAATAATGAATTTTTATCATAACAAAATTCATAGAAAGACTAAATTAAAAAAAATATATGATTTTATACATTACGTCACGATATAAGGATTGAATTTTTATTTATATTTTTTAATTTTAAAACTAATCGATCAACTTTTAAAATACAGAAAAAAATCAAATTTCATAAAAAATATATAAATAAAAAACATACTTAATCCTAAAAGAAAAACATAATTTCATTTTTTCATGCTTGGCTATAAGGAGCTTAATTTGACATTGGTGTTTGACATGAGAAGAAAAAAGTGAACCATTGGCATAAAAATATTGGTAGCATCAGTGTAACTTTTCACAAATTGTTTAATTTATTTTATTAAATTTATATTTGTTGATGACATAACAAGTTTAATAAATTCACTTGTTCACGGAATTTTTTCGAATAGCACACTTTTAATAAAAGGGTCAGAATTCGGTCTCCCGTTAGCTGAATTCTGACCTGTATTTTAATAATTTTTTTAAAATAAAAAATATTTAATAAATATAAATATTAAATATATATATATATATATATATATATTTTTTAAACATTTATTTATATAATTATATCAAATAAATATAAATATATTATTTTATATATCATAAAAATATATTTATATAATTATATTATTAATCTTTTATAAATATAACAAATACAAATATATTTAATATATATATATATATTTAAATATTTATTTATATTTTTATAAATATAATAGATACATGTATATTTATATTAATAAATATATATATTTATATCTTCCTATATACATAATAACATAAATAAATTATATATATATATATATATATATATATATATATTATTTAAGTATATTTTGAATATAAAATAATTTAGCAAGTACAAATAATATTTCTTTTATAGAAGTATATAAATATTTTTATTATATTTTAATATGTTTGTATATATTTTTATAAATATGGTAAATACATATTTATATTTTCTTATATACATTATAACGTTATTATATATATATATATATATATATATATATATATATATAATATACATATATAATTATATATTTAATAAATACATTTTTATATACATAATAATTTTATTAAATTATATATATATATATATTAAATATATATATATTTATATATGTAAAACATTTGTTTATATTTTACATATAATAAGTATGAATATATATTTTTATATATAATAAAATATATTATAATTATATGTGTTAATATATTTGTATATATTTTAATAAATATTATATATATATATATATATACATTTAATAAATATATATTTATATTTTCTTGTATATATATATATATATGATAATATATTTTTTATATAATATTCAAGTATTTATTTTATAAAAAATATGTTTAATAAATAAATATAATATTTATACTAAAAATAATTTTATTTAATTTTGATATAATATAAAATAGATTTGGTATAAATATTTTGTTACAAATAAAATTTGAATTAGATAATTTGAGTAAAATATACAATTTGAATTAAAGTGAATTGATATTTTAGGTATTAAATCAATAAGACATGAATAAGCAAGTTAGAAAACTACAAATGAGTTGAATAATTATTTATTTATTGATTGTAATGTCATATTACAAAACTACAACAAATTTGTCTACGAGAAGTTAATCCCCTAACGCCAAGATTATGCGAATAATGATTTTTTGTGTGACTTGGAGTGTGACAATCAGAACATTTCCTTGTGTAATCTTCTTTATGGATATCTATTTGTGTTGACTTTGGATGACCTTTGAAACTTCTTCTTATTGCTGGATTGGGACAAAGTTGTGGGTCTTAATGTGATGACCAATAATCTTTGTGTCTAACCTCCTCAAACAATTAGTCATACACTTTGTTGACTACATCCAACTTGTAAACATGATTGATGTACACCTTGTAATCATGAACATGTTTGCACGCTGCAACCACATGAGAACATGACAGATGAAGTTTTTGGAACTTCCCATAATTGCACCAAGTTTTATCTAGTCTAACGACAAAATTACCAGCAGGTCGAACTTCTCTTGGGTTGATGATCTCCTCCACCAAGAATTTTGTGCTACTTCTATCAAATTCAAGTATCCTATGAGTGTTTGATTTTGTATACGCATCTTGTAAGACCTTTGATGCAACTTTTAAATGGACATGACTAACATTAATCATTGTTGTGATTTGTCTCCCTTTTTTTGTGAAAAATTTGTTGCATCTTATGTATGTGACCATGACCATGGAGGAGATTGGCATATTCCTTGTTTTCTTTAGAACTGAATTGATGGATTCAACTAAGTTGGTTGTTAGGTGACCCAATCTTCTATCATCATCTTATGCAAGTGCCCATTTGTTCCTAGGAATTTTGTCAATCCAGGTTGCTGCTTCTGAATTGGCTTGCCTTATGATGTTATAGTAGTAGTTTGCTCCTCGCTCAATCATTGTGTATGCTACATATTAAAGTAATAAAAGTTAACATAGAATAGACAAGATGACATAGTAAAATAGTTTAGATAGAATAGAAGTTTTTACCCATATTGACAAGGTCTTTTTTGAGAGTTCCATTCTTGAATCTTCTCATAAAATTTTATGCAATGTGTCGAATGTAGTACATATGCATACAATTACCATCAATCCATCAACTCTTGGGTCTTGTGTACGCTGCATGAATTGAGTTGTGTCAATTCAAAATTAAGCACAAGTTGTCCTAAGGTATGACATACCTCCTTAGTTTTTTTAAGAAAAAAAACCAAATATCTGTAGTTTCACTTTCAACAATTGCAAAAGCAATGGAAAGTATGTTGTTCCTTTTGTCTTGTGCAACAGATAGTAGTATGATGCCTCTATATTTGCCATATATAAATGTCTCATCCATTTGGACTAGTGGTTTGCATTACCGAAAGCCATCAATGCATGACTTAAAATTCCATAATAGTGTTTTAAAGTATACCTTGACTTCACTAGAAGATGGTAGTTGTGTGGTCAATCGATAGTAAAAACCAGGAAGAAATTGTGACCTAGCTTGTAATAGGCTAGGCAATTTGTTGAATGATTCTTGCCAATTATCGTAGACATTTTCAATTGCTTGTTGTTTTGCCAACCAAACATTTGTGTTTGTCACAATATATGCAACTGAGGACTTGATATGAATAATAATAGTTGTGTTGAAAGTCCCACATCGCCTACCTCATGTCATTTGGTATGGTTTAAATACATGTTAGGCTACTCCACATATTGCCAATTGGTTTTATGTTGGAACCTTAACATGGTATCAGAGCCAAAGCTTAACATCTTTCCGGTTATTGTCATGGGCCAAAAATTTCCCTTTAGTTGGGTCAAAAGTACCCTTTGCCTGGTTCGGCAGGCTTCGTTGGAGGGGGTGTGTTGAAAGTCTCACATCGCCTACCTCATGTCATTTGGTATGGTTTAAATACATGTTAGGCTACTCCACATATTGCCAATTGGTTTTATGTTGGAACCTTAACAAGTTGAAATAGGGGTAGAAGGGTCTATGTCCACAATTTCATGAATATGTTGTGAAATTATGTGACCCCAACTTATTGTGATCTTGTGATATCAAAGATGTAAAACATGTGTGGGCTCCTTCTATCTTTCAGATCTTCCAAAATTGTTCTTTGGTGTGCAAGATTGTTTGGCACTTCCAATTGCAATGATTCTCAACACATTGCACTCTTAATCTGGTGGTGTTGAAATGTGTGACTTTGTAGGTACAATGATCATTATGTGGAACTTGTTAAGTGCGTCAACCACTTCTTCCTTGTTTTGGAATCACATTCCCTTAAATAATGATCCAAATGGATGTTCCATTGATTCATGGTCAAATACATGACCAAACTCACTATTTTGTTCATAACGAAGTGTGGTATATGTTTCAAAATGTTGGAGAGGGATCTATGGATGGGGTAAATGATGTTGGGATTGTGGTTGTATGGGGAGACCTCTAAGTTGTCATCATCCTCATCTGCATGTTGTGTGAGAATGTCGTTCTCATCATCACTAAAAGGTTTTAAAGATGCTGAAAAAAAATCCTAAAGTTTCATTTTCAAATAAAAAAGGTAATGGTGTTGTGATTGCATGGGTGAGGGAGGAAAAAACATTTGATATGGATGGATTAATTAGAAGTTGGTTGTATGATTGTACATCAACTTTCCATTCCACTAAATAGGTGTTGTTCAAATCAAATGTTTGTGTTGTGGGTGTGTTTGTGAGTTATGGTGTTGATCTTGACATTGGTTAGGAGCATAAGGATTACATCAATGGTAGATTTTGCATATCTCAGTTTCGACCAATGTTGGGTTTACGTTTTTGATTTCGATTAGCCCTTCTAAATCTTCGTCATCTTGAAGTGTAGTTGCAGTGTAATAAGCATTTGCGCCATAAACTTGGATGGGATATTTGTACGTGATGGTTAAAAGTTGTTCATGGGAAGATTGACCATATTTTTTGTAGAACAGTTTGTTTGAAATGCTCAAATGTCGTTGTCATTGTTGTAGACAAATACAATAAAAATTACAGAAGTCATGCGTATTGGTATAGGTGTTCAGTGAGTTGATTGAA